TCAGGTGAACATCACAGAGATTTGACAGTTGATTCGAAAAGGTGATCGAAGCCAAATGCACTTTACTTCTTGGGGGCAGGTCTCTCTTTACTAAAGCCTTTGTCTCTGGCTCGAATTTGTTTATAAGATTTCACAATCGTTTGGCATCCATTAATCATTGCTTTGGAAGAACGTCTGATTTTTCCTCTCATTCTGAATTTGTTTTATTGTTTTTTAAGCAAGTGTATAGGGATATTGTGTGGGGTAGCTTTTCATCAGCTTCGTCAGTGTCTATTTTCATTTAATAGACATATTTTGCCCACAACTGCACAGGGGAAAAAATGTTTAATCAAGTTTATTTTGTAAAGAATATTTTAAATTTTGATTTTTGGTAAATATTGTTATATAAAAATTGTAATAAATATATATTCACATAATTCACATATATTTTAATATTAGTTATGATCGATTTCTGATTGGTTCCCATTATTCAATTCCAAACAGCAAATGTATATAAACTTTTATTTCCCAAAGTTAGTTTTCTTCCTTGTTTTTACTTCAATCACCTTTTCCTTAGGACTTTTCTCCTTGTGTGATGAACACCTTTTGTTTATTTGTTGAATCAGCCTCCGTCAAACTCAAAAGAAAATAGATCTCGAGCTGGTCCATCAGTGTTGGTTATGTGTTAACACAGAGTCAGATAACTCCCGGCCACAAAATGCTCCGGGTCTGAGACTTCAGAGCAAACATTTTGACAACTTGTGAACTTTAGACTGACAACCCGCCACGGCCCCCAGTCTCCTGCACAGTGGTTATAGCGCAATTGTATCATAAACCATAAAACCACAAGATTCCAGCAGCAATTAAGTGAAGGAACAATCACAAAAAATGCTGCCGAAATCTTTGAGTTGCCCAAAAAGAAAAATAACTTTCAGAAGTATAAACAAACAAAAAAAAGCGCCAAGCAGCCAGAAGCATCATCTTGAGGGGCATCTACACCGATTAGCCCATATTTGAGCAGAGTTGTACATCTGTCCAGACAAATCGAGACCATCGAGCTGAAAGTTGACGACTTAACTTGGGAGGGTGGATTGAAAAGTTGCAAGGGGAAATAATGAATAAGAATAAAAATGTTTAAAATAGTCGGAGTTATAATAAATTCATAAAATAAATAGGTCAACGCATTATTGAAATAAAATATAACAAATTTTATAATATATGTCACCAAAATTATAAATTAAAAATATATTTATGATATTTACCTTTGAGTATTATTAAGTAAGTACATTAGTTCCCTTTACTTTTCCTTTTATGCTTGCAAATTCTATTAAATTTAACCTCTTATAAATAATCTGAGATGATCATAAATTTCTCAAAAAAAGACAACATAATTTCTTGTTTTTATAACACTTGTCAAAATAGTTAACAAGCATTTTTGTTAAATAAATAGATTAGCCGGAACAAACCCACTAACTGACAAAAATAAAAAGAGGAAGTGAAATACGTGGAAAGTTTCAGAGTAAACTTTGTGGATTTAATCGGGACAGTCTAACAAACATTTAAAAAAAATATAAAAACCACCGAGAAGATGATTAATCTTATAAATAAACAAGCTTAAAAATAAATTGTTGCTAATGGAGCTTTAAAAAAAATAGGAAGGAAAATTAATATAAATCAACCCTGTTAGTTAATGGTAAATTATATTAATTTAGAGGGAATATATGAACTATTTTGTTGTGTGGTAATTACTTCTAAAATTAGTTTACTATACAGTATTATTTATGGCAAACATATTACTTAGATTTATTTTTTATTATTTAAGTAGAACAACTGATTAGGTTTTTAGAAACAGCAGCACGAGATTAGCACGCCATTAGCCAAGATTTCTGCTGACTCTTGACTAAGCTTTTGGTAGCTGCTCCCGTTTCCGTTTTAGCTGCTTTTTCCAGCCTCTTGGCCATCAGCTGAGATGTGGTTTTTATGGTATTTGAGAAATGATTAGCCGCCCAGATACGAAGCCAAAGCGTTATTACGTGTTTGGAGACGGAGCTGAAGCTGCAGATGATATGCAAACTCTGACGCCTGGACAGTGGAGCTGAAGAACCCGAGTTCCGTGCGAGCACAAAAGTGGCACAATTTTTAATGATCATGCGACTTGATTTCTTTCTCTTTTTTTGACCATCTTTCATATATGAAATATATATATATTTCCCATATTTGTTGTTACCTGAGCTCGTGGCCTAGCCCAACAAGGGGCCACAACATGCCAAAGACAAAGTCGCTAACCTTTTTTTTATCATCCGAGATGTACACGAAAAAAAAACGATGACAAGTTTGTCGCGTGTAAACAATTCGCGGCGGCCAAAAACACAGAGAGCGGGGGCGGAGGAGTGAAATTTCAGGGCGGGATTTATGGAGCAGGGGTGACCGGAGATCCAGGGGTGCGGCGGTGTTGGATAAGAGAGGAGCAATGTCACCGAAACGGAAACCCGGAGAGTGATGTCGAGCGGAGTAGGGAACCGTAACAGAGTGATGGAGTCAACAGTGAGAGTGAAAAGTAGGTGATCATAATGTATATAATAATAATAATAATTAAAAATTTCATATGATATAACATAATAATAGTTACACATAACTGTAGAATTTTTAGGAACCCAAAATATAATATCAACATTAAACATTTGCCAATAAAGATCTTTTTAAAAATGGATATTTCCTATTATTTATATTATATTACACTTTTAAATATTTTATTATGTAAATAAAGTAATTATTATTTGATAAGAGTGCTGTTACCTTACCTAGTGGCAATCTAACCAAACCTGTATGTCATAAGAAACCGGAAATGGCACTAAATTCAGTACCTCACAAATTTCATTGCATACTTTTCAACGCCTTTATATGGATTTTGAAGATCCTAGTCCATTTTTGCAAAGATTGTTCTAAATATTTAAGCCTTTGTGTTTTTACTGACTCCTAGCTTAATTTTGCACCAATGCAAATAAAAAATTATAAATAAATATACCATAAATGTTAATAAATAAATCAATTTACAAATAAAGTCTGCGTTTTTCTTTCATTTACCTTAAAATTATCTAAAAATGCTAAATATTTTTATTAGATTTTTATAAATAATTTCTAAAATGATAAAGGGAATAAGAAAACTAAGTTGAGTGCCTTATTTCTTTAAGAAAAACCACTTTATCCCACTAATTTTTACTCAGTTCACATACAAATGGCGGTCACTATGCCATCCCATAGCCTCCTCTCCCCTCCCAGACCCCATTGAAAAGTAAGGCACAGGCACACACATCCAACACAATCTTACAGATACATTAGAAAATATCTCAAAAATCAACACAAAAACTACCAGCTGAGAAGTCAACGTCGACTGCGACTGAGACTGTGACTGCGACGGCGACGGCGACGGAGGCGTTAGAAGAAGATCAGAACCCGGCAGAGCAGGGCAGACCAGAGCAGAGCAGAACCGACCCGAACCCCACAGATATATATGTATATATCTTTCTTTTTTTTTTGAGCGGTTGGAACGCGCATGAGTGAAATAAATTTTCACGCTTCCAACACGGAGAGACTTTTCGACGGCGACGTATCACAATCAGAAACGATCCGACAACCGACCGACAACCGACGTCCATTCATAGTGTGTGTTTTGTTTTTATATATATACATTTCGTTGGGATCGGCGGAGAGATCTCTCCCCGATCCGATCCGATCCGTTCCGTTCCCGTTCGCGATTCGATCCCAAAAAAAAAAAAATCAGTCAAGAGCCAGAGTCCGCCCGATCGCCCGTTCGCAATACATTTTTCGCGAGTGAGTTTTTCGCGAGTGAGCCAGTGTGCTGGGGGAGGTGGAAAATCCCACGGTTTTGTTATAGCCAACGCTTTATATATTAGTGCTCACCGAGTTTACGTTCTCGTGGCGATCAGTTGGCGATCCCTCAGATCCATACGAACGGTCAGTCAGAGCGCGAGTGTGTGTTTCGAACGCGAGAAGAATTCTTTTGGATAATGTTGGGAACATGGGAAAAACGGGCGCAAAGGATGCGCCACAGCACAGCCAGCCTCAAGAAAGAACAAAATTAACAAACATATAAAAACAGAGCAAAAGGAGTAAAATAAAACTCGAAAAAAAAATACAAAAGAAACCTAAATAAAAAGTGCGGACAAAAAGCAGAGTCGCGCGCTTCTTCGGGTCTTTCGGTCCTGGGATTCTGATTAAAGCGCGCGTTTAATTTCATTTTTTACGCTACTCCCTGGATATCCTCCAACATATATATATACATATATATAAATATATATCCTCCCCTCTACGCAAGGAAAAAAAAGAAGACAAAAACAATTCCCAAGTTGGACTCCACCCTTGGCCAGGCTTTTGATTCGCTGTTCATCTTTTTGGCCTGGAACTCTTTTCTTTTTTTTGTTTGCTTCGCTCGAGACCTGGCCGAGACAACAACGGCGGCAACTCCTGGGCCACATTCCCTTTAAGCCCGGCTCAGTACGCCGGCAGCTTTCTCCGCGTGCGTACGAACACCACGCAGCATCCTACTACTCTTTGTGAAAAAAATAATAATAACAAAAAGGTGCAAGAAAAAAGGGCATAACCATCACGAGAGATCTGGAAGATCACCTCAGAGATCGGCTTGGTGACCATGTCGCCGGGGATTCTGCCAACTTCCCCGCTGACGAAATATATATCACATACATCACAACAAAAAATCCACTCAACTCGAGCCGCTTGATTAATTCGCACACACGTCAACGATATTCAAATAAGCATCTCGTGTACTCATCGTGGCCGCAATAAAAAAGGCTTTAACTTTAACTACCTGCCAAAAAAAAGAACAAGCAAAACAAAACAAAAACCATCTACAAAAATAATATATTTATATACAACACTCACTCTCCGGAAAATATATAAAACAACCACGCACAACCACATTCGAGCAGCTCAACGGGCCAAAATTTGGTTTGTTGCCGCTGCATTTGGCGGCTTCAATCGATATGCGTTTGTTTATGGTAATTGCAATTTTAATATTCGCAATGCCAATGACTGGATTCGGCTGGTAAGTAATGTTGAGATAATTATTATAAAATACTAATTAGTTAGAGATTAGGGAGAGGGGAAAGTAGGGCAGTATTTAGTTGGGTAATGCAGCAATTGTGCTATCTTCTAAAGATAATCAAAACAATAATACAAATTAATCAGATGGTATTTATATTACGTGTTTCAATGATTTGATACCAATATTTTCAAACAATTTATTTATGTTTCTATCTATGTAGATAGAAATCTATCAATTGAATTAATTCTAATGTTTATTCTAAATTTTATGTGTTGCTTATTTATGTGCTGTTATACTGCTTGAATTTATTTTAGGATATACTTTATGATTTTTAAAAGTAATTTTTCTATTTTTACACATATTTTAAATACTTATTTTGTGTTTATAATTTTTGAATTAGCTACATACAGACTAGTATTTGTTTATACCTTAAAAGAATCATTGAAAATAGTATTTCAGTTCTGTTTTTGGAACTCCTGGAATTCCTATTCAGACTTCGTAGTCACAATCTATAATGAAAAATATGTAATTATTTAATTAATTCCATTAAGTTCATATTTAAACTACTATTTACTATTTAATATATAAAATTTAAATTTGAATTATCAGAATATATATTTCAATGAGGTTTCTTTAAAGATAATCGGATGATCTCTTAGACTAAAAATTGAGATGCTATTTAATTAATTGATTCCTTTTATTTTATATTCATTGTATTAATCTTTAAAGAGCAATTTTATTCATTTCACAATGCTTTCTGCAAAGATAATCACATGATCTTTAAACCTTTTAATGTTGTAGTGCTACTTAACATAAGCAAATAAATAAGATACCTTATTTTAAATACTCTAGTTTGTTCTAGTTGCAATCTTGGCCAACAAAGTTGCTTCGATTTAGCCCCCTTAACATGCAATTTATGTTCTATTTCAATGCCAAAAACCCATTACCACCCGCCTTTGAGGTCTTTGTCAGTTTTGGTTTAGACCAGGCTAACATAGACCCAACCAAACCATCTGTGCCCATGTCAAATCGCATCAATTTACGAGAGATTGGCGTAACAGCTTCCGGTAGAGGCGGGCAGGCTGACAGAAAATAAAAAAGTGCATGCCCCAAAATAAATTACAAAAAATATATATATAACTATAGACTGCTGACGCTGCTGGTGATCTAAATGGTAAAAATGCAAATGCAAAACCAAATCAGAGCCAATCGAGCGTGGCGACCGAATCGGCGGATGGACCTTCAAAATGTGACGTTTGGCTTAGATTTAATTACATGGCAATTTTGCCATCTCTCCCCGGGCCTCTATTCCTTTTTTTGTGGCCAAAATAAATAACGTGGCCAAAAAAATGCCCAAATGACACTTGGAGCAATTTATGCGCGAAATTACAGGCGAAAAGGCGTCCAACGAGATGAATAAATAAATAAACAAACCGAGGAGGACAAACATCAAATAGAAAGAAAAATCGTGCTCCCTCTATCTCACTATGCACTTTGCCAAAATTATTTGCCATCAAAGTGGCATCAATGAATATTCTTCTGCTTTGGCATTTTATTTTTATTATTTCTATTTTATACGATTTGCCAAAAGGTAGAAATATTGTGGCTGTCAACGGCAGCGAAAGGTGAAATTTTGCAGGGCGGCCGAGGAGGCGTGGGCGTCGCGTGGCGTAGACTGCATGACGATGTCTTGGCTAACATTTTCTATATCATATATATTTTATTTTCTGCCCCTACATTAATTTAATCTGAGCTGTGTGCAACTGGGCGCATCAGCAAATGAAGGTGGACACCTGCACAGAAAAGAAAAAATACTCGTATAAAAAGGGGCAGAATGGCTGGGTGTTTCCATGCTGCATCCAATTCAATTGCCACTTTTTTTTTGTGCACAATAAATTAATTAAATAATTAAAGCTCAAGTTCAGAGCTGTCAGTTCTTTTTTCCGCCGCCTTTTGATGTCGAACGCTGCAACGGACGACGATGTCGCCACCACCCAAAAAGATGCACAGGGAGAAAAAGAAAATAAAATGAAAATACTGCCTTTGGCTGTGCCACTTTCTGCGCTTCATCTGTGCCGACCAAGGGCGATGGGATTTGCCAGAGAGATGTAACAAAGAAAAATTATGAAACAAAATAAAAGAAATGAAAACCAAACTGATGACAACCAGCAGGCCATGAAGAGTGACAACCGACTGACTGACGAACAAGGTGTATATGGAAAGGTGTTAAGATACTGAGGATAACTTAAGATCTATGAAAGATATGGGAAGAAAGTGGGTTAAGGATTCTCTAATCTTGTATGAGAAGTCTTTGTGGTCTTATTTAATAACATGATTTAATGAATTCTAAATTCAAATCGATCTAAATATATTTTTTACAGGCTTATATTCGCTTGAAGATAAACATGATTGAGTGTTGATATTATAATATACTTTTAAAAGAATTTGTATTATTTATTTACTTCACAAATTAATGAAACCTAACTTCGAATTCTTTAAAATAATAATTTGAACAGTCTTATATTTAATGGAAGAAAATCAATCCAATAGCTTTTAAATTAAGCATATATTAAAAAGGACATCATTGAACCCATTTATTTCAGTGATTCCACTCACCCTTGGTTCGGCAAATAACAATTTTCTGTTTAGGTGTAGAAATATTTAGACTAAAATATTTATGTTTTTAGTTAGAGAATTTTTTTGTATTTTATACCATTTCCTACGCTTACAAATTATATTTTCTCAAATATGTCACAGTATTCCCTGTATTAAATTAAAGTTTAGTTTAAACATAAATCGAAAAATGAAAAAAATATGCTTAACAATCCCATACTCCAATCTTATACCAAAACAAATTTAAACAATATTCCGCCAACTAAATATTAACATAATTAAAACCCCATAAATCTCTCAGTTGCCAAAAAGCACAAAATCCATCGGATGGGCCAACTATTAGCACTCAAATGCGGATCTGCGCAATTTGCATTTTACAATGATTCCGGAATTAGATAGATTTGTGGGGATTTTTGGGGGTTCACAGCCTCCCCTCATTTTGTTTGTGTGTATTTTTGTGTGCATTTTGCAGGCGAATTGCACTAAATCAAATGCTCATTGTGGAGCGATTGAGATCATAATCGATGGGGCCAGAGGATGGAGATGGATGAAGAGTACCCACACTTGTGGGTAGATGTTCCGTTAAATGAATGGAAATTCCAGAAGATCGAGCAGGGGGGGGGGGAGGGAGGCACAACCAATTACAGAGAAACTTACAACAAATTGCCGATGCGTTGATCGAGGCAAAAATTTAGTGCTGATGTGTCTGGAATTTAATTAAAACCAGCGAGTGATGATGAAGATCTCTCTTTCGTATTGCAATTAATACAATCAGTTGCAGATATATGTATTTTCCGTCTGAAAGCCCTAAATGAGCTCATTTCCGTTGGAAAAATCATTTGACATTTGCTGGCGACTTCCTGCTTTGCACACAATTTCATTCATTGAAAATCGTTTTCATTCAGTGGCCCACAGATCTCCTGATCTTTTCCCATTTTCTTTCGATCTCTCTTTTTTTTTTTGGCACTCACAGCATGTGAAATGGTAATTAATGCCATGCGGGGCATTAATGGGTTAAGGCGAATAGGGGTTGTGGGGCGAGGGAGGGACGATGTGTGCCTGGGCTGGGCCACTTAGTCTCAAGCTGTGCTGGCACCACAGTCGGTGGTTGCATCAACAAGCATTGCTCATACGCCCCGTGCAACCACCACGATGATCATCATCTTCTCATACGAATTTGGCACACTTTATGAGCCAGCAGCAACAAACACACCCCAACAAATGGCTAGAAAACAACCCAATAATTATGTTCAACTAACGAGCAGACAAAACTCGGCCAATTGCCAAAAAGCCAATGCAGATGAGTTGATTATGAGCAGCGCCAAATGAGCAACACAAAATAAATAAAATAACAGTCTCTGACACAATTCGCTCGACATCAACAAGAGTCTCATCTCGGTGTCTGGTCTCTAGAGAAAGTTTCACGTTCAAGTTTCCTCCGCAACCTCAACCCCGAAAAGTAGCTAGTTACCAAATCCAACACTACACTACATTGGATGCTGCAAATCTTTTAATTAAATGCCATGCCATTTGTTTATTCTGTTAATTTGTCGCTTTCCCCTCTCACTACACTTGACACATTGACGAATGTGTCTGTCTTCGCTCTGTCTGTCGACTGCATCATAATTAAATTGGATGACGAAACAAAAGAACCAGACCAGACATGGGTCAAGTTGGAGGACAGTGAACAGGTAGATGACGAGGATGAGGAGGAGGAGGAGGAGCAGGGCCAGGGACAGAGCCAGGCCATGATGTCTGTCAAACAAATTCTGACGAGAGTGCCACCAGAATATGTTCTTGTCATCATCAATTTAGAAGAAACAAGAGAATGGGTGTACTAGATTAATTTTTGGGAAAGTACGGAAGCTGATTAATAAGAGCTGGGGATTTTCTATAAATTCCATAAAGTTTAAGTGAAGTTTTTAACAATCCTATTACCTCACATCAAACTATTTACCCCTAACTTCAAACTAAGCTAAGATCCCTAACCAATTCCCTTTTCTCACAAGCTCAATCACTGTGATTAAGTACAGTTTAGGCATCCTTGACATGAACATGACCATGTCCATGTGCGCCAAACAACGATCATTCCCTTTAAGCCCAGCTACGCCTATTTGAGCCATAATTAAGTTAAACGTTGTCGCAATTTGCGCACCTCAAAGTCACCAAGGCCCCGAGATTGATGTCGCCTTTGTTGGCCAAGAGCTAAGAGTTAAGCCAAGTTAAAGGCACTTAAGGCTAAAGTTGAAGTCGTGCCCTGCCCACTGGCACTGGCAAAATGGAAGAAAGGACGGAGGCTTGTTAAAGGAATGACAAAGCCGGAGCTCAGAAAATACTTATAGTAAATATGCCTGAATTATTAGCCAGCGTTTTTGTTGCGCCAATTGGACATGGACATGCCTGGGAAACAGCGGGCAGGGAAACTAATGTTTTAAATTCCAGCACTAAGGAGGGGAAATGGTTTTCTAAAAAATAAATATTTATAAAGGATTTTATTCAATTAGGAGCAGGAAGGGTTTATGGAAAAGCAAGACTTTGGACCACTATGATATCAAGGGAGGAACTTTGTCTAAAGCTTATGGTGTCAAAGAGAAGACTTTCAGTGCTTTGAATTGTAGGATATATATACTCGATTCCCCAGTGACGGCGCCTTATATGCTAATTGGCTAAATCACAAACATTTCAGTAACAAAAAAAGGTGCCAAAAAACAGCATGCGACGCCCACACACGAAGCCACACCTAAAAGATCTCACTGAGATTGGTTCCCAACTCCCCGTCATGTCAACACCTTTTCGGTGTTTATTATTTATTTATTTTTGTTTTTCTTAAGTTTATTTTTTTGTGTTTTTTTGCCAGTAGCTATGGTAATCGATTGTCAATGCTGCCGCCCACATCAAACGCTTCTCTTTCCCCATGAAACTCTCGTATGCACAAGAGATCAGCACTTGCGCCGAGGCATTCCGTAGACAAATATTTGAGCGCGTAAATGAAACTGACCAGCCGCAACAGCACTCGACTTGACTCTGGCTCAAAAAACCAGGCAGTCCAGAGGAGTCCGTCGTATATAAAAAATAAATAAAAATAAAAGCAAGCAGAAAAGGCAGCAGCCGGTCGACCAATCCAATGGCCATTCATTCACTTGTCAACGCTTTGTTTAAATACTTTGCCACTCGCATGTTGACAAGTGGTTTAAGTCGTTGATTTGTTTACACCGACCATCAGGGGGTATCCGAGAGGAGATTGTTGCAACGTGGACAAGGAACTCACCAAAATGAGTCAATCAAACGATTCTACATATTTACTTTTAGAGATATCGCGGAAAAGGACTGACGGCAACGAAGAGGAAATGCTCTGGGTGGAGGCTATAAAAAGAGGAGAATTCGAGGTCGTTAAAAATAATATTTTCAAATCCCCTATATACATATTTACTTAAATTAGTTGCCAAATACCACATCTTGAATTAATCTTATATGTTTTCCTGCATCACTTAATCGTTCTCCAAAATTGTTCGCCCAATTTTCCATATTTACCAGCTATTATGCGGGCATAGTATGGGAATTTTTAACCACTTGTCCGTTTAGGAGCTACTAAAAACCCAAAAAACCAGGCACTTTGATCAATGTCAAAGAGTCTGGGAAAAAGGCAAAGAGAGAGGAAAGGAGTCACTGAAAGTCCATTGAGGCCTATAACGACACCCATACCAGGGCAAGGCAGGCGCACACACAGATACTGAAAGCAAAATAAAGATACGTTGCCAAGTGTTGTTTTAGACTGGTCGGTATATGCTACACAGAAAGAAATTATATAGAATATATAGAGATGAAAAAAGGGGAACAATTTCATCATAATAAGGATCGATTTTAAGGATCGATCTTACCTATTTTATATGACAATTAACTTAATCAGTGAAGTTTCTGAAAATGCATTTACATTTGTTTTGTTTTTTAAGATATTGACTTGAAATATAAATAAGGAATAATAGAATAATATTATATAGATAAATATTATTATTTGATATAATATTTATTATTATTATTCTTACTTTATTTGCTATTTAATTAAGTAGATAACTTACATATAATGCTATACAAATTTAAGTACCTCTCACGCTCTGAAAATGTTCAGTTCAGAACCCTTACTCATTTAGTTGTATAAGATCTTTCTTTACTTTTTTCAGTTTATATATTACCCATAAATTTTCTCTCAGTGCTGCCATGGGATGCGAAAGACTTGGGAATGGGGAATGGAGATGGGGATGGGTAGTGGGACCTGAGAGACCTGAAGTTGTGCCTGGCTCCTTTTCATGTTTGCCGACAACTCCGCTGCTGCCGAGTTCGCTGCCAAGTAAACTTCAGTTCAACTTCAAAAACCAAAAAGTGTCGAACGATCGGTTGCTCCACTCTCTGTGCGGCTATTTTCCGCTTAACAAAAATCTTCTCAATGTGTTTTTTTTCTCCTTTTTCGTGGTGTGTGTGTGTGTTTTGGTGGTGGTGGCAACTTGTGCGGTTGAAAGGTGTTTGAGTTCTTTAGATCTCTCCAGTCATCAACGCAACGCAACCGAGACGTCATCATCATCAAAGCAGCAGCAGCATCCAACAACAACATCCAGGAGTAGCAGCATCCAGATGAAGATCGCCCGATCGATGAAGATGATCATTGTGATTTGAACTTCAATTGTTTCACTTTGTTTACCAGCGACGTCTATCATTTGAAGTTTGAAGTTTGTAGTTTTTAGTTTGTGTTTGGCGGTCGAGAGGCGAGAGATGCCTTTGTTGCCTTTGGAGTTAATATTTTCGTTAAGTACTTGTGCGTGTGTTTGCTCTATTTGTTATTTCGATTTTTTTTTTCATTTTGCGGCTATTAAGTTGTCATAATCTCCACGAGTGTAAGTGTGTGTGTCTATATTTTCTGGGCTATTGCCACAGGCTGGGAGGGGAGTGAGTGCAACAGGCCAGGTGGCAAGTGGAGCAACCCAGGTGGGCATCGATAATGGGATTCTGAAGCGGTTCAAGTGGTTTATCTACTTGCAACTGGGTGCCAGTGTGTTGTTCTCTGGGAAAACAAATTGGGAGCACCACAATTGGGTTATCAGATGGATACTTATATATAGTTATGGGGGAGAATGCTGGGAAGATACTATATCAAAATATAGTTGCAAGTTTTGGTTAAACTAAAAATTGATTAAATAAATCAAAAAACCTCATTAAAAATATGTTATTAATATTTTTCCAAATAAACATTCTTAAATAATTAGAAAACTAGCTATAATAAATATGTCGTCTTGCTTACTTTCATATAAACAAATATTAAATGGTGTAAAAAACCTTAAAAAATCATTTCCACATCCCCAAAAAAATTTCTTTCATCTTCTATTTCAATTTTTGAAAATCTAATAAATTTCCAAATATATTTCTGAGACAACAAAACCAAGACACATATCATCCTGTAATTAGCATATTTGTTGACTTGGCTTGCACTTAATTATTAATGTGGCGCCAACCATGGCGTTCATTAAATATAGATTTATGTATTTATTTATGCTACTTAGCTGAAATTTGTGTTGCTTTTTTTAACGCCACACAAAATTTCCAAAAGATGAACTCACTTTTCTGGTTCGCTGTCATCCGCGGCGTATACGTAATATCGACTTTCGAAGAGGTCCTCTTAAGCCAGTTTGTTTATTATTATAAAAAATCGAAGCGTTGGCAAAATTCGATCAATAAAGTACCATCCATAATACCCGCACCCAGTTTTCAATGTTTTTCCTTTTTGCAATTTTCCCAATCAATGCAATTTTCTATTTCATTTTGAATGCCATTTGCCGGCTGCTGGCAGCGGCGTTAAAATTTAATTTAGGTGGAAAATTAATAATTACCCAACAATGTGGGTGCAGTTGAGCATATATACGAGTGTGTGTATATATAGTAAGGAACATAAATATATATATATTCCTACTATATGGAGATTGACTTCTCTTCTTGGGGTATGTGTCAGCCACTGGAAAAACTGTTTCTGCTCGCTCACTGGCAGCCTTTGCCGCTGATTTATGTTTTTCCATTTCAGATTTATGACTTTTTAATAGCTCAATCGCTCGGCTTTTCGCTTTTTTTCACATTGCACATTCGCGTGAAATTTACTTTGACTGTGTGTATATTCATGAACTTTGCTCCATTCGGCAGTTGTGCGGAAAGTGTGAGGTGTTTCTGCCTGGCTGAAGATGCCAGGTAAATAAAGCATTTAATAGGAGGGCCTGCTGTTGCTTTTACCCTCCAGCACTGATTGATCGATTTGTCCATCATTGCGAATTCCAATTGATACTTGGCACACGGAGCCATAAAAGTGAGGGGGCTCACCACAACTGAGTCAGTCTAAAATATAAGAAATCCAATGGCCAAGTTTCGGCAAACTTCAAAATGTGAGAAATACTCGATGAATAATCCATCGATGACAAAGTGTTTGGTTTTGATGTTTGGTATTTTTGGGCCAGAAACAAACCCTTCAGGGAAACTAATAATAAGTCATCGATATAGTTGAAAACGTGATTGCTTATCGGGTTATAGTGACGTGATTTTGGTGACTTTTGTTTGGTTAAGGTGTGTCTTAGGTGGAAATGATTGCCAATGCACTTGGGAAGGGACTTAGTCAGAGTAGTAAACTTCTAGTGAGTTTTTATGGGTTTAAATGTATAGCTTTTATATTATTTTAATAGAACTCTTAATCCATTCTTTCCAGGGCTGAGGGCACCAACATCCTTCTCGATCCCAATCTAATGTGCAAAAAGACACGTCGCCTTCGTGGCAAGTTGGCCGAAATCTGCCGTCACGATTCGGCCCTGCTCAAAGAGATCATCATCAATGGCATCAACCTGGGCTTCCGCGAATGCGAGTTCCAATTCCGTAATCGCCGCTGGAATTGCACAGTTCTACGCAAAAGCATGAGGAAAATCTTAATGCGCGGTAAGTAAGTTTTCCCTGAAGGACAAACTAGACTAAGACTGGAGGGGAAATCACTTTATTATGCAGACAGCCTGTCAACACTCTCGGTGAGTGAGTCACCTCTGGTTTGAAGATACTATCTCGAGGCTAAGCCGCCTAATTACAACTCATCGTTGCACGCCCCGTTTACCTTTATTTTATCTTGTATTTTACTTTACATTTCGGGTTGTCATGGACATGCAGGGGCCTTGCAGACCAGAGACCGCAGGCATCATCCATCAAGTTGCATAATAAAAATGCAGCGAAACGCTCTGATGAATAGCGCCTGAAATGAGCCTACAAAGCTGTCAATTTTAATAAATTATTGCACAGGAAAAGTGGCAGGCAGGAGAAGGAGATATGATCCTCAATCTTTGCACTTTAATGACAACAATGCGCAAACAAAACACATACCAAACGGTGGTGTTGTGTGTGAAATAAATTCCACCAAAAAATCCCCCTCTCTTACTCGGATTAAAGCCTCGCCCTGTCAACCTGTCAGCGAAAATATATATATGTACATATAATCTTAAGCAAGTCCCTCATGTAACACTCCATTTGTGGATGGTCGAAGATGTATCACCTGTCTTGCTGGTAAAAGAACCTCCACTTCACCTTCCAGAGTGTATTACAAGCTTGTATGCAAATTAAAACTCCAATTCAGATTTCGCTTTCATTAAACGTGACACTGTCACCACACAGGTCCGTGAGTCCCTGTGCGATTTGTGATTTGCATAGAGCAGCGTTCGCTGACTCGATTGTTGATCGGTGATCGGTGATTGGTGATCGCTAATCGAACAAGCAATAAATCATTTTGTCGCCCTGGCCTGACAAATTAAAATCCATCAGGCGACACGTGCTGACAACACTAATGATTGAGTATTGATTGAACATGTGGCTAATTTATGGAATGTGATGAACAGAGTTATGCTTTTAGGCAGGGTAAATATGGAAGAAACATTTGAAGAGGAGTATATAGGAAAAATTTGTAGTATATTTAATTAGAATTGAGTTAAGATATTTATATGACATATTTATTTTATTTAAATTTCTTTTCTTAGATTCCCGTGAAACGGGTTTTGTGAACGCCATCACAGCTGCCGGCGTGACCTATGCTGTGACCAAGGCCTGTACCATGGGTCAGCTGGTGGAGTGTTCCTGTGACAAGGCGCACATGCGCCGTAATGGTGGTCAGCCGGTGATGGTCACCGCTGCCACAGCTGAGGCCACCTTGGAGCGGCAACAGCAGGCGGCAATGCTCCGGCAACATTTGCCCCTCCAGGATCAGCCACATCTCAACCAGCAGCAGCAGCGATTGAATCGCAATAACAACATGACGGATATATCTCTAATAGAGCATCGAAATGGAAGGAATCGGAAGCCTGGTGGAGGTCGGCGGGGGCGTCGCAAGTTCTGGGATAATATCAAATTTCCCGATGGTCAGTGGGAGTGGGGTGGTTGCAGTGACAATGTGAACTTTGGTCTGCGCCACTCGAGGGTTTTCCTGGATGCCAAGCAAAGGCAGAGGCGAAGCGATCTGGGGACCTTGGTCAAGTTGCATAACAATAATGCAGGAAGATTGGTGAGTTGTAATATCCATTTTATATTGGAAATGACTAAAATGTTAATACCCTTGCAAGGGTATATATACACCTCCCTTGATATGCATTTAACCCAATCAAAATACCCCATTATTTCGACTTCCCTAATCTTGTTTCCAGGCCATTCGTGATGCCATGCGGCTGGAGTGCAAATGCCATGGCCTCTCCGGCTCCTGCACCGTGAAAACCTGCTGGTTGAAGATGCCTCCCTTCCGGGAGGTGGCTGGGCGCCTGCGCGATCGCTATGACAGTGCTCGGAAGGTGGCGCTGCGCAACGATGGCAACAGTTTTATGCCGGAAAATCCAAGGGCAAGACCGGCTAATAAGTACCAACTTGTATTTGCGGATGAATCGCCCGATTTCTGTGCGGCAAATCCGAAAACGGGAGCCCTGGGCACCCAGGGCAGGGAGTGCAATGTGACCAGTCCGGGATCCGATCGATGCGATCGATTGTGCTGCAATCGAGGACACACCCGGAGGATCGTCGAGGAGCAGACCAACTGCAAGTGCGTCTTCAAATGGTGCTGCGAGGTGACCTGCGAAAAGTGCCTGGAGCATCGAGCGGTCAATACATGCCTTTGATTGATCAAATCATTCATTATTATTTGTATTATTTTCTTCGGTTTAGTCAGGAATATAGAATTTTGAAAGCTTTCCATTTCGCGTGATAGAAAAACACAAACAAACACATACACACTTACAGAAAAAACGTTCTAAGTATTAACTAACAAGTAAACACGAGTATCTCTAATCTTTTAGCTAGTTGTAAATACAAATTAAAAAGAAAAATCACACCACAAACACATAAAACATGCCTACGTTATATCATATATTCATATGCATTCATGTAAGCTTTGTAAATAGTTGTAATAAAAACAAATAGAAAAAACCAAAAAAAAAAGATTCTTTAAACTATTCTTTATATTAAAAGAAATTTAAAGAGTAAGTTTTTCTTAGGAATTTCTCAACAAATCTGGCAAGGAACATTTACAAAATCAAGAAGTTTAATGCATGATTTTGTACTGGAAACTGGTATATGTATATATATTTTTATATACAATGTGTTTCAACAACTTTTCCCTGCGTCCTTATTCTTCGAAAATATTTTATATTATTTTTAATTCTTAGTTATAAATACTACTTATTCATGGACTTTCTTTCCCAAAATATTTTCAAGTTCAATAATTAATTTTCGACCTTCTTTAGTTACAACAAAACTGCCCCTTGTCATCCAATTAATTGCAAACAAATTGAATTTCAAATAACCAGATTGTGTCTACAACAAAATTATATGCTAAACGGAAATGTATTTCAAATCGATTCGCCCATTGATTGAAATCTGCATAAATGATTAAACGTAAATTAATGAAGACAAAACACAACGATTGAACAGACGGCAGAAAGAAACAAGTTCCCAGTTTCATTCAAGTGTATCTATATCTATCTCTGAGCATAGTCATTCTGTTGACTTTCCCATAAATTAACACAATTTTATTGTTGTCGACACGAGATAAAAATCTATAGAAATTTGCCTAAACAGCAAACAAAAGTTCAACAACGACAACAATAGACAAAAAAATAACAAAAAACAAATGCAAAACGCATTTTGAACAGAATGAAAATTGATTTGCCCATTGTGCATAAATTACGATTCACAGACAGACAGATCGATCGATCGAGCGCCATCGATCTTTGGTTGCATAAATTAAGAAATCAAATCGATGTCGCTAAATGCATGTAATTAAATGAATATCATATATTTGTGTTGTGATTTCGTGAGCAACAGAAGCAGGAGCCTTACAAAGTTGCTTATCACGGGAATTTTTAATTTTTGAGCGGGCTTAAATGTAGCAAAAGGTGGCCTATAGCTGGTGATGAATGGTTTAAAAGGTTTTGTGTGTTTTTTATTTATTTGGAAAGAGTGGGTGGGACTTAAGAGAATTTTAATAGAGAATAGGAGTTAAATCTTTTATAAATAAAATATGTATCAATTTTAAAAGCCACTATAAAGGTATTTGAAACTAGGTCTTGCTTTCTATTAAATATGTATAATATTGTCAGATAATATGCATCAGTATTTAAAATTTAAAAAGTTTATTGATAACTTTTTTTATAGTATATAAAATGAATATAATCTTCAATATATCTAAATAAAGCTCTGGGAAAAAATAAATGTACTAAAATCAGGTTTCGCTTGTGTTGAATATTCGTATTTTTGAGATTAGTTTTAAATGGTATTAGTTTGCTGAGAATTTGAATAATAATTTATCAGCAAGTAATAAATTATCTAAAAGATAGCATCTATAGCCTAATATAGTATGTTCTTAAAACTAAAGAAAAGTTTCCAATGTATTAAATTTAATTCTTTTTTCGCTTAAAGATCTCTTTAATTCCCTTAGACATTTCCATAAAATCTCCAACCCACGAGAACCTAATGCTGAGCTTAACCTATCCATCTCCCCAGAGAATGAAGCCCCAAAGAATTATCAACTCAAAGACCAAGTTACCAATCCATTTGCCTACTTGGAGACTTGGCCAACTGATTGTCCACAGAGGAGACTGTGGTTTATTATTTTGGGGCTGCAGAGCCAGAGAGGAGACAAGCCCATGCCGGTGCGATAAGATACCTCCAGCAAGATCGGCGGCAACAGCAACAACTAATTAACAATCGCATTCATTTTATTTATCGTACAAATGCAAACCGCTTGACTTCCAAAAAAAACAACAACAAAATAACATCAAAATAAGAAACAAAAGACAAAAACTGTATCTGCGTGCATTTATAAAGCCCCCGACGTTGTGGGATATGGGATTGGGTTCGAGATCGGGATTGGGATTGGAATTGGAATCTTCTTGGCCTGGCTTTGGTTCACTTGACTGAACAAAATGTACACCAAGATATATATATATATATATGGAAGTATGTATCGCATCGGTTCTTCTCCTCCGCTGGCGCGTTGTTCTTCCAGATTCCAGTGGCTTTATCTTGGGCGCGTTAATGAGATTTGCTTGTATCTGAAGCCATTCGGTAGATGCGTATCAGTGGATTTCAATTAATTGTGGCGACGCTTATTAGTCATCCATCTAACAAACTAAACACGAGACTGGCGCTACCTTCATCACCATTATTTTACTTTTATAGAGAGTGAGTGCCATTGACCTCGGACTGACCTTGGCCGACGATGGGGTCTTGGCCTTATTTGTGGTAAGTTAATCATTTATGCTGCTTTTTAAATTGTGGAAAAATTATGATGGAAAAAGGATATTCTAAAAGGATATGTATATAAAAATATCATCATTTGTATCAACATTTGTACATCATCAATGTGCTAATTCAACTTAAATTCAAAATAAACATAAACTATATAAATTTGTATAATTTTTAATGATTTTGATACATGCAAAAATGTGAAAATTAACTAGGTATCTGGCAATTATAAATACTTAAAGAAAATAAATACCATTTATTGTTAACGAATTTTCTTGACTCAAAAAAATATTATTTTAAAAATTTCTTTGAATATTTTTGCTACTCCTTTAATTCTAGAAATTTATGAAAGAAAAAGGACATTTTAAAAAAGATTTTTAAATTTTTTAAATGGATTTTTTATGGCATGTTTTAAGTCAATATGAACATAAAAATATATATTTGTATTCATTTTTAAAGATTTTAATACTTGCAAAAATGTAAATGTAAATAGGAATTTAAAATTAAAATATATACCTTTTATTCATTTGTTTATGACTCGAAAAACAATATGTCCTTACTTATTAATGTTATATCATTCATTACTTAATAATATTTTATAGTAAAATTAAATCTAAAATATATACAATCCTTTTATAAGTAAAGCGGCTAATTTCCTTTCAACTGGCGCCTAAAATGGCGCCCCAATAATATCATATCATGATATATAGGGATATATAAATGTGCATATATAAAATACATATATGGACACCAGCTAATGGCTTAATTTGGAGGTGTACATATCGAAGACGATCGGGCGATCCTCGAAGATCAAACTGCAGGAACACCATTTTAGCCAAATTGCAGTTCTTGGCCAGTTTTCTTGAAAGGAGAAGAGGCGGCAGCAGCAGCAACAACAAAAACAAACGGCAGACGGGGCGCTACAACAATAAAGGAGAACAACTATTAAGACCGCTTGAACGCCTGTCCGGGATCCAAACAACAACAACAACAGCAGCGAACGGCAACGAAAAACTACAGAAACAAAACCTGAAACATGAAATTCCTGCGTAATTTGTAAGGAAAGGCGTGAAGAACACCAACGAAGGCAACACCTTAATTAATGTTATTAAAATGGAACGAACGAACGACCGACCGATGGACCTGGAACCTGGAACTGGGAACCGGGAACCGGGAACAGGGAGCCCGGAGAACCTGCAAGCCTGGACCTCAACCTGGGTCCACTGAGAGACCTACATATGTATGTATGTATATACATAGGTATATATATCCACAAAAAAGAAAAGACAACCCGAAGAAGTGGAAGAGAAGAAGGCAAGCGAAAAGAATGTGTTGGGAAGGGTTATAAAGGGAAGAGCAAAAAGGGTCGATTGTCCAGGAACAAACCCTGGCTAAGGTTTGAGTTTAAGGTTCAGACTATCGTTAAATTAGGATTTAGAAGTATTAAAAATAAGAGGGATATAATATCTTTAAACTTTTAAAAACAATGAAATTATTTAAAACATAGTTCTTAAATTATAAAGTTCAAGTTGTATAGAGAAATAAATCAATTTTTGAAGTTCATAATTGTGAAATGGTTCCACTTATTAATTTTTGAAAGGGTAACTTATTTTTTAAATGACCGAAACTAATTTAAAAAAAATTATATTATTATTATTTAATTATACATATAGTATAAAATATATATATAATATATAATATATACAATAAAAAGAGAAACTAACTTCAGAAAGTCTATCGATGTATATCCTTTCAGTTAGCCAAAGAATGTGCTTAAAAATAAATTGTTTTGAAAATTGTGAAAATATTAAAAGCTAGATCGGCTCTGCTTATAATGCTGATCAATAATATAAAGCTTCAGACTAGATTAATATAACCCTATAAGACTTTAAAAATACAGAATGTTCTTAACAGTAAGTTGTTAAAAATGTAAGTTCTTAATGCTTTAAGACCAGTGCTCTTAAGTATAATATATTTCAGTTTTAAAAAATATATTTAACCACATTTTACACCATTAGAGTCCCTTAAAAGCCATCAAGCACGAAGTTAGAGGCCCCTAAGATAAATCCCCCGTAGTTCTTTCCGAATGTTCCCAGGCGGAAAAAGACAAAATGTTGCCATCTGGTGATCAGACACGCTCCATAAGCAAAAGCGACTCCTCCTTGTGTAAAATCCATGGTCCATGGTCCCATGTCGGTCGCGTTCCCATCGTTCTAAGACGTTAAGGCAGATTTATCACTGGACACTCTGGAGCGCTGACTACTTGACATATTCATTAAATTTGCCACATTGTTGCCGGCAAAAGGAAGGCCAGACAAAGCAGATGATGCTCATCATTTTGACACCTTAATGCGGTAATTAGGGTTTTTTTTCTTCCCCGCACTACCTTTATCGTTGCCTCTGGAGATCCTTAAAAGCCGATGATCGTGAGCAAATATTAACACAGATCGGTTTGGGAAGATCGGTTCGCAGATGGATGGGCGACGCCCTGGTCTCGACTCTCAAGCCCGACCTTTTAACGGTTTACGGCGAATTGGCTTAAATTATTTAAAGATTACAACCTCCAACCTCAGAGAGATCTGTCTGCGATCGTGTATCCTTTTTTCGGGTGTGAAGATTATGACACAGCAGAAATGGCAGCACAAAAAATAAAAAAAAAAAAATGAAGGAAA